CCCCGTCTGTCCTGCCCGCCCGCCCACTGCCCAGTGTCTTTAATCCTCGCGCCTCCAGCTCCTCTCACCGACCCCCCTGCAGCTTTAGAGCTTCTGACTATTTTTGTGCGTGTTTGACGTGGTTCTGGAGTTGGCTAATCCGTCCCCTAGCTGGGCGGGTACCCCCCGCGTGGCCACGGCACCCCGACCCGCCTCGCCCACCGGGCCCCAAAGGAGCCACTGCTTTTCTAAAATCACACTGCCGCCCGACTCCTGCCCTGCGCTCCTCCCCACGGGACACAGGGCTGCCCGAGTCCCTGCCTGTCCCTGTGTCTCCTCGGGGGAGATCAGGCTCTGTTCCCCCGCCCGCTCTGTAGATCAGGGGGAACCCCTGGGCTTGTGGCTGAGAGGCCTGTGGGCTCAGCGCCTACTGCGGCCGCCGTGCGTGTCCACCACTGGCCCTTGGGCTCATGGGAAGAGACCAGTGTCCATGTGCTAGCCCCAAACTCAGAGGGGCCAGCTCCCTCTGCCAGGGGCACACTGCATATTGGAGCAAGGGCCAGGCAGGGAGGGCTCAGGTCTGTTAGTCTGACCTGGACCCCATGGTCTCATAAAGCGTCTGGGCCTAATGGAGGCCCAGGCCTGGCTTCGGGCGGGGCCTGCTGTTTGCCAGTTCAGCACAGTCCCAGGGCAGTGGTCTGGGCAAGCCAGAGGCCCAAGGCTTCATGCTCAGGTCCAGCCGCTGGGCGGGGAGCTGGGCTGCAGGGCAGCCTGAGGGGGCTTTGCAGATAATCAGTCCACCCCCTCCAGTAGAAACTCACCCCCAGACCCAGGCTTCTCCCTTGGGAGGCCCCACCCCACCCCCCTATCCCACCGCGGTGTGAGTGCGCCCTGGCAGTCCCACATGGCCCCCTCCTTTGTGTCTCCTGCAGGTGGTGGCGGGAAGGCCAAAGTCTCCGGGAGACCCAGCAGCCGAAAAGCCAAGTCCCCTGCCCCAGGCCTGGCATCTGGGGACCGGCCACCTTCTGTCTCCTCGGTGCACTCGGAGGGTGACTGCAGCCGCCGGACACCACTCACCAATCGTGTGTGGGAGGACCGGCCCTCGTCTGCAGGTGGGCATCAGGGTGGCGGCCAGGCCGAGCCCCTGCGCCAGGCCCAGCCAGCTGCCCGAGCACCTACTGTGTGCAGAGCATATGGTAGGGCCTGTGCTGGGAAACTGCTCAGGGGGTCAGGAAGCTTCTGACAAGGGCCCAGGTGGAGGGAAAGGGGGTGTGAGTAGGGCTGTCCTGGGAGCCTGGCCTCTAGGTTTCCCCGAAGAGTAGATGGAGGACTCAGGAAACAGGGCGGTGGGCAAGGCCCGATCCCGTGGGCTTGGCGGGCTGTTGGGCACCAGTTTTCTTTATGAGCAAAAGGGGACGCCGGAGGTTTAGTTGGGGAAGAGCAGGATCGCTGTAGGTTCAAGAGGTCTGTCGGCTACAGAACTGACGCGAGGGGCCGGGCGCCTCGATCCAGCCAGGGAACAGGCGGAGGTGGGAGAGGCGGCAGTTCCGAGAAACCTGCCAGGAGTTGGAAAGGGCTGGGGCAGCTGCCGGGCTCAGGAGGCCCCGGCCCGGCGCCTGGCGTGGCGGGCGGGCCCGTGGGGCTGCCTGGCTTACCAGCACCCCCCGTCTTTCTGGCAGGTTCCACACCGTTCCCCTACAACCCCCTGATCATGCGGCTGCAGGCGGGTGTCATGGCCTCCCCGCCCCCGCCAGGCCTCCTCCCGGGCAGCGGGCCGCTCGCGGGCCCTCATCACGCCTGGGAGGAGGAGCCCAAGCCGCTGCTCTGCTCGCAGTACGAGACGCTCTCCGACAGCGAGTGACCGTCGCAGTGGGGTTGGGGGCGGCGCAAGTGCCAGCGAGCATCCGAGCAGCAGGTGAGGATCGGGCGGCTGCCAACTCCCCCGACTGAGGAAGGAGCCCCAAAGTCTGCCTGTGCGTCCGTCCATTCATCCGTCCGTCTGTCCAGAGCCGGCATCCTTGCCTGTCTAAAGCCTTAACTAGGACTCCCGCCCCGGGCTGGCCCTGTGCAGTGACCTTACTCAGGGGATGTTTACCTGGTGCTCGGGAGGGGAGGGGGCCGGGAGGCAGCGCGGCCAGCGTGCGGTGGCCACACGCAGACGCTGAGATGGCCAGGGACCCAAAGCAGGATGACCACACACCTCCCACGCCACTGCCTCCCCCCCCTTAACGCATTTGGAACCAAAGTCTAAACTGAGCTAGCAGCCCCTGCACCCTTCCTCCGCCCCCATCCTGCTTAGCGCTCCGGACAGATGGACACGGGCCCTGTCCAGCCCCCAGCGCTCTCATCCCCACCCCAGGGCTGCCCCAGCCACCGAGACTGCTGGAGCCGATTCAGGAGGCCAGGTGGGCGGGCGAAAGGGCTGGGTGTGGCCTGGGGCCCGCGCCACCGAGGAACTGGACTGTTTTCTCACACATCGTTGCCGCGGCGGTGGGAAAGAAAGGCAGGTGTAAATGATGTATTGGTTTACAGGGTATATTTTTGATACCTGCAATGAATTAATTCAGATGTTTTACGCAAGGAAGGACTTACCCAGTATTATTGCTGCTGTGCTTTCAATCCGCTTACCGTTGGAGCGGCCGCGCAGGCCCGCAGTGGGTGAGCCCCTTGTCCCGGGCCGAGGGGCGGGGCCACCAGCTCGCAGCCCCCATGCCCGCCCGCCCTCCTTCCTTGGGCAGAACGCGTTGGATGGGTGTTCCGTGACCGCCATCTGCGTGGGGCGGTGGCGTCTGTCATTTACACGTTGTTCTCATTAAAAAGCGAATTATACTCGAGCGATGGTGCTGCTTCTGTCTCAGACTGGGCACCGGGGGGCGGGCATGGGAGTCGGGGGACAGTGGGAGGGAACCTCGGGATTGAGGTTGGGCCCTAACTCAGCAGCCTGGGCCCTCTGCAGAGGAGTGTTTAACCCGCGGTTAGAATGTCCCCTGAGGGCTCCGAGGACTCGCCCGCGGGAGAGCCACACTCAGGCTGAGGGTGTCCCCGATGCCCTCGTCATGGACAAGCAGACGCTGCTGCTCCGCCTGCCAGACAGGAGGACGCGGGTCTGGGAGCAGCTGCCGGTGTCCTCGTGGTTCGCGCCCAGGGCCCCTGCCCCTCCCGGGACGCCCGGCTGGGCCTCACGTTCAGCACTTCCCGCAGGATTTGGGTGGCAGCAGAGAACCAGGGTGCCCTGGAGGAGGGCGAAATCGCCATCCCCTGCCTGACCCCCGGGCTTCCCGGGGTGTGGACCCGGGAGGCCAGAGGGGGTGGGAGTGGGGGCGGGGCGCAGTCGCCGCCTTCCTGGCAGTTGCCCCATTTGCTTTGTGAGCCTGCTCCATGAGGCGACATGAGCAGAGGGCTTTGGCGCCACACGGGGCCTGGCTGACATTCTGTGACCTTGGGGACGCTCGGTGCCCTCGGTGCACCGGTGGGCGCAGCCTCGCTCCCGGGCTGCAGTCCTGACGCTGACGGGCAGGTGGCAGTGCTTGGCCAGCAGAAGGCCCTGCCCTGGGCCAGGTTTCCCTCCACACAGGGCTCAAGTGCCCCCACCCGGAGCCCAGGGCGGGTCAGGTGACGCTGGCCACACCAGCCTCCAGGTGTTAGCCAGGCCGGGGCCACCCAGGACCCCATGGCACCTCCCACAGCTGTGGTCAGACCAGGACGTAGGTGATATGTGGGGGGGGCGTCACCTCTGCCAGGCCCCCTCCCCCATCCTCCCATCTCCCTGGCCTCAGAGTGGGCACCCCCGTTGAGGTCCAATGACCCAGACCTGACACGGGCTGTTTGAAGGGTGTAGGGAGAGCTCACGGCCTCTTGGTGCCCTCGGGGTCCACCCAGTCTATTAGGCCGAGACCAGCCAGTCCCCAACCCCCGAGGAGGTCATCCCATCCCATCCTGTTTGGTTTTCTCACTGCTCTGCCTTTCAAAAGGAGGCCTCGCCCGGCCAGGCGTGGCTCAGCGGTTGAGCTTCAACCTAGGATCCAGGCGATCAGGGTTCGATTCTCGGTCAGGGCACATGCCCGGGTTGCAGGCTCGATCCCCAGTCGGGGGCATGCAGGAGGCAGCCGATCAATGACTCTCTCATCATTGATGTTTCTCTCTCCCTTTCCTTTTCTCTCTCTGAAATCAATAAAGACATTTTTTTAAAAATAAAAAATAAAATGGGAGGCCTCAATTGTGCACCAGATCCCCGTGTCCCTGGAAAACTCCTACACATGCTTCAAAACCCAGCTGGGGCACTGCCTCCTCTAGGAGCTCATCTCACCATCTTTCTCCTTCTGACCCTGAGCCCCGGTGGCTGCTGCCCTGAACCAATCGTGTGAGGATCAAACAAAATTAGAAGGTGACCTGTAAAGTGAAGGACAGTTGGCAAATGTCCCCGTCTTAGGACACTGGAAAGTTGGTTAAGATGCAGATTACAAGGCCCCACCTAGGTCCAGGGTGGGCTTGGAAATCTGTTTTCATATACAGCCCAGGAGGTTGATTGCAGCCCAGGTGTCTCCAATGCAGGTAGCTTGCAGCCTCTATGGGGGTGGGGGTTTTGCACCCTCACCTAGAACCTGTCCCCTTCACCTTCTGTCTGGCTGGGAGATTTCCATAGAAGGAGGCCCAGGCCACCAGCCCCAAGAGCTGCCTCCCACCGAGAGGGCAAGAATGGCTGGTCCTCAAGGCCCCCCGGGGACAGCTCAGGACAGGCGTTCCTGGGGCCCGATAACTGAACCTGAGCAGAGGGAACCCATGTGGGCAAAGGCTGGGAGGTGAGACCCAGCCAGGGACATTGGGGAGCCCAGGGGTGGCTGGACCTAGTCAGTGTGGGACCCAGGAGTTTGAGAAGGAGCCAGCTGATACCCAGTAAGGCCACTTCCTTTTTTTTCTGCAATTGGGGTGGCCCCCGTCAGCCTGCAAGGGCCCTGGATGGATTGTGATGGAGAAACAGGCCTGGGAGACAGTTTTCCCATCTGTAAAATGGGTCCAAGGATATGTGAGGAGCACTGGGAAGCCCTGTGTAGACAGGGCCCACTCATCTGTGGGGGAGGAGGGGAGGCAGAGAACAGAGACAAGGGCCAGGTGGGGAGGAAAAGCAGGTGGTGGGCAACCGGGTCTTATTTGCGTAATTTGGGAGTAAACCTCTGGCAGCTGGTGGGAGGGCCCCTGGCTCTTCTGTCCTTGAGAAAGCTAAGGAGGGCCCTCAAAGGAAGCCGCCAGGGTGTGGCTCTGGGCCAGGTGACCGGCTGTCCTTCTGCAGCGCTGGCGATTGGCCAGGTCCCATGTCCTCGTTAGAATTTCTCACCCGCTACCTCCCAGGGTCACCGTGGAGAGTAACCGGGTGAAACGCTGACCGCCGGGCCAGGCTGTCCGCAGACAGTACCTGTCTCGTCTGCTCTTGTCAATCCTGGAGGTGGGACTGGTCGAGGCCAGGGGGTGGGGGCACCTGTTTTGG